GATGCTTTGGAACAAAGAGAGATAATTCTACCAGAAATAGTTCAATATAATATCTTTTCATGTATGTATACACAACGTAAGTATATATTTCTTACCAGAATGTCAACTGTGTAAGTTTGGACAACTAAGAAAGTGTCTACATTATATTTTCCAATATTTTTTTGCTTTATTTTTGTGAGATTTTAAAAAAAAATTTATCCTGTTTCAAAAAAATCTGCCCCCAAAAGGCTGAAGAGTCGTCCAAATGTGATTCATCAATGAAAGTAAAAATATAATGTATTGCATTTGAAAAAAACCTTATAACTAAAAATTAAAAATACATATTCTAAAATATTGCAATGATGTTAGCTAGAAAAAAAATCTTATTATATTATCACACACACACACACACACACACACAAATAAATAAACAAGATTAATAGTAATATAGTATTTGTAATAAAAGTATTTAAAGCTGACATGAATTCTTAAAAACGCAACATTTTCATCTATGTACGACTTGTTTCATACCAACGATAGCCGTATTCCGCCATATTTCTTTCAGATACCTTGTCTCATTGTAACGATGTATACCCCAATGCGCTCGTTACAGTTGAATGATTTTTTGGTTTGGGTATCGACTTGTGCACATCTCCGATGGTAAAGCATATATGAGAACTCATAAGGAGATCAAGACATTTCAAAACCACAATAAACAAAATAATAATCATATTTCTGAATAATTATTGCTTTGAATCAAAAGAAAAAAATGCAAGTTTGGTGAGAAATTTAGATGCACGAGTACGTATTTTTACTATGCGCCAATTTATGCAGAATAAACTTGAAATAAAAAGCAGTAAAATCTGCAAACACATTTTGAAATTATTATCATTTAAATGGCACAAAACAACCAACGTCTTTGATTTGCGGCCCCTATGCAATTGGTGCATATCGAGAAAACGCCTCGAACGCTTTAAACGTACCCATACCTGGTAATAAGGTTACTGCATCGGTTCGAAGATGTGCACAAGTCAAGTGATATACACCCTGAATTCCATTTATTGAAATATGCATCACAAAAAAGAAATAAACTCCGTAAAAGCTCAATAGTAAACACACTGTTATACCCCGTACAGACAAGCACCTAGTCCGTGCTGATCAGATTTTGGTCAGGGAAAATATCACAAGTGGAAAGAGAAGTTATTTGGTATTTGTGCGGCTGAAGGGGGGGGGGGGTTATTATAACTGCTGTTCATAAGCTATAATTGTGAATTGTCTATCTACATGTAGTTCTAATATACATTCTATACAAAGTCATGTATATAGTCTGCAGTTGGTTTGCGTCATTTGTCAATCATAACTGATTATTGTAGTACTAATCTCAAATCTAAACCAAGTAATTTGATGTACGGTAATTATTTACTTCAAATTTTAAAAGCACTAAACCAGAATACAATTTTTTTATGTGTACATAGATCTATACGTTCTTTAACACACAAACACACGAAGAAATGCCATCCCCTGTTCAGATTGACATTTAGGCATTTGATTTTTTAGGCGGGGGGAGGGGGTGCAAAAATAATTGATATGACCGTAATCTAAATATTCTTGGAAGACAGACATCTCTGCCAAATTCAATTTTGAATTTTTTTTTTTAAATGTGTCATTCCGACCACAAAGTATGTGCATTTTGAGGTATGTATAAATGTTTTATAATTATGGTGTTATAGAGATCGAGACTTTCGAGATTTCAGTATCCCTGCCTGATAGTCTAGCTTTTTTTTTATATTAAAAATAATTTCTGTAGGAGTATTTGGGAGATAATTTTAAAAGCTAGGGTAGGTAGTCTTGACACTGGTTGAATACGGATAATTTTTATTTACTCTTTTGTATACTGAACTAACTCTCTCTCTCTTTCTCTCTCTCCCTCTCTCTCTCACTCTGTAACCATCTCTTAGGGCAGTAATAGGTATAAGATCCTACGCACTTTGTGCTGTCCATTTATAAAGCCTTAAGACAGATCAAGGATTTTTTTTTTCAGGCGGGATGTCGAAACTTCATAAATTGTATAATAATTTTAATTTGGACGAGAAGTTAACCCAAACGGCCAAATTGAAAGAGAAACTAGAGGTATTGTGAGCAATGAGCTCACTAAATGATACCCCCGCCTCCCATATGGTTATAATGGCAAATTCCATATTTTGCTGTTGTCGCTAAACCCAAAATACGTGTCGGATCAAAAAGTAAAATAAGAGGTGCACAATGGTAATATGTAATAAACCTATAAGATTCTGTGAAAGTTTTATTTAATTTCACTAAGTGGTATAAGAGGATTTGCGGATAAGAGATGGGTACCCCAAAGCGTAGCAGACCGACGGACGGACATAACTATTACTATATACCCTCCCACTTTTCAAGCGGGAGATATAATAAACGTGAAATATACATCACAGGAATGGTTACATCGGGAACTTTCTCAAATACCTTCTCAAACGCATTGGCGTCGGAAGCAAATTGAAAGTGGGGGGGGGGGGCTAAGTGCAAAGATTTTTTTTTATACATTCAAAAAATCTGACAAGCTTAAAAAAAGGGGGAAATGTCCTTTTACTAAACACGAATATCCTATTTCGTGTGGGGGGAAAGGGGGGGGGGGTTGGTTCGAACTTCAGTAACCAAATTTTTCTCCAAACACCAACACTTTCCTCTTTTTTAACTTATACTGCGAATTGTCTGTGAAAAGCGGGGGTGGGGGGGAGGGAGGCTAAACCTACGCAGCAATATTCAATGTCTATACTAAGTATATATTTGTAAAAAAGCCACCCCCCCCGGTTCCGACACTTATATGCTGAACCTGGACAACAGACAATGGAATTTTTATAAAGGTATAATTGTAGGTGGAATGCAGAAATCCTCACGGGGGGTTTCCTCTCTCTTTTTATCTGCTTTTTCTAGAAATCATTAATTATTTATGTCTAGAAATTTAATTCACATTAAATTCTATTTTCATTATCATTGTACCACAGAATCAAACTCGTTTATTATACCCCTCGCAACAAGTTGCGTGAGGTATAATGTTTTGGACCCATCAGTCAGCCTTTTTTTTTGGTCAGTGCAACTTCTTATAAACTAATGCACAGAGTTTTGTCGAACTTTCGAGATATTTAAAGGAGTCAATGTGTCTGTATTTGCGCATCACCAGGAAATTCCGAAATCTTTATTTTTTCGGGAATTTCCACACTTTTACATTTAGATTTTGGCCATATCTTGAATATAAAGATGAGCAGTTTGTCAGGGCAATTCCTCATAAACCGCTGCACACAATTTCGTCAAAATTTTGCAGATATTTAGGACAATGTGTATAGATGTGCATATTACACAATTTACGATTTTACGATTCCTTTATTTTTTCTGTGAATTTCAGCACTTCGACTTTTGTGGGAGCGTGGGGTATGTGAATTTGCTCACTTTTTCTTTCATTGTTCATAAAATTATAAATAACTTTAAATCAAATTATATTAGGTCTAATAAAGCCAATACACAGTATTTATTTGATTATATTTGATCATAAAGAAATCCGATTTGTTTCCGACGTTTTTCTTAAAATATTCTTATGAGAGTGTTATGCATGTTTTATTACCCCCCCCCTTTCACAGGAAAATATCTTCATATCTTCAAAAGGTGAATGATTCGTAATAATGCATGCTTTATTATAAATTTGATGAAGTTAAGCCATGTTTTCAAAAATTTTATTTACACCATTTACAGACAAGAGTAATGTTTATTCTTGAAAAAAAAATTATTTGCATTTTCTTCAGTCAACCCCACGGCGCTTTCAACCTTTGATATTTTCCCTGACCAAATAAAATGATCGGCATGGACCACGTGCGTCCAAGCAGTTTTTACTGTTGAGTTAGCAATGGATTACATGATTTCTGAGATGCATTTTTCAATAAAAGTAAAATAGGATAATTCTTTCGACATGTGCACATCCCTGTAACGATAGCAGTATTCAGGTAAATATTTCTATCACTGCGTTTGACGCGTTTACTGACCTGCATGGAATTTTTGCTCTACTTGAATGTATTCCGTGTAAGTGTATTTTCTATATTGCAGCAAATGCATTCAAAAATAATTTAATTCTCGGTATAGTTCTAGTTTTTGTTGAATTTTTACTTTTCAAACATGTATTGGTCAGTTTATGGACTTCTAAAAACTATGCTATCGGAGATGTGCACATGTCGACAGCCAGGATAGAAAATCACTCAAGTGAAACAATTGTAAAAGGCTATATATAGCAGGTACAGGTGGCCAAAAATGTTCGATAAATATGGCGGAATCGAAGAAATATGGCGGACAAAGGCGTACAGGAATGTAGTAAGTCGTACAAAGATGAAAACTGATGCCTTTTTAAAAGTTCATGTCAGCTTTAACAACAATAAAAATTTTGCCGGTTATTTCATGCAATTTTTTCTTTATGATTTGTGAACTTGAAATGTCATTTCATATAGCTTGAATATTTTCTATAAGTAAAATCTTGAAATTAGGCACGGTTTTGATTAAAAGTTACAGTAATTTACTGTCAATAAATAATATTTTAAATGTTTGCCAACTTCTACTTGTATCAAGCCTGTGAAGTTATTCGTTGCAAAAATGCCATTTAGAAATTGTACGTTTTTGGTGCTTTCATTATTATTGTGCATGTTGTTTTTTTTTTCCAGAAAAAAAATATGTATTTGATAAAGTTATAACAGTATCGATATGCCCCTGACTCAGGGTAAAATTACAGGGTCGGTAGGTAGGTGTCAAAATCTTTTTCCCCAGAAAATTTCAACATATTCTTGACGGAATAAGAGGAATTTAAAAAGGAGAAAAAAAATGTTGTGTCCTGGAATGTAAAATAAATATGAGTCGGGTCATTTTTTGACAGTTCGTTGGGAGAGGACAACCAAACAATTTTTCACATGTAAAGATGGCCTTAATAAGATGTTTTTGTTTAATTTTCATGAAAAATTATGCTAAAGGTTGTGCTGAAGTGGGACTTAATGTTTATGGATGAAGAATAAGTAGTATAACTCCCCATTTACCGAATTTCTAACTTTATGTTATTGGATAAGAATGCCTTATGTAATTTATAATTATCCATCACCGGATTTGTAATAAACCAAAGCATACATCATGTTCTTTTAACAGAAAATGTAAAGTAATTATTAATTTTATGCTCCCATTTTTAATTTGAAAATGTAAATATTTTTTTTAGAAAGAGTTAAGTATCAAACAGAATAAAAATTTGAATGCTTTTCCAAGAACAAAAAAATTTTAAATATAAAAAAGGAATACATGTACATGTATTAAGCAATCAAACTTTTAAAAGAATTTTTTTTTAATATTCCAAAAAGGGGACCGGGGGCAATAATAATTTTTTTCCTACCGCGAAATCAGTACTGTTCGCAAGGGTTTAATTTTCGTTGTTTTGGAGGAACGGAAAGACCAACACGAAATTTAATATTTCATATGCATTACTACTTAACATTCTGTTAACATGAAATCAAGTCCTGACAATTAAACCAATATTTTTTTCCTCAAACCTCCAAAAAATTGACCCCACGAAAATGTGTTTTTACAATACTAGAAAAAGATCCATAAATTGTAATTTAAAAATTAGTTGGTTTTCGTAAGTTTCGTAAATTTTCTCTTTCTTTCCTATATAAATCACATAAATGCATATAAATTAATTTTGTATGAATGATTTTATTCTTAGAAGTTTTTGAAAGTTACAAAATATTGTACTTTAAAAAAGGAATTTAAAAAAATAATGTCCGCCGGAATTCCAAATGGTTTTTGAAAGATCTAATGTACAAAAACTACATAAATGTTTTCAATGAAGAACTCCAACATCCTTTTAATATAAGAGTACTTGTGTGCAGAATCACAGTGATTATCAACCAAGCAACTGTGTTGATGACCAAGAACAATATTTGAAAATTTCTAACTTCCATTTTTATGGAAGAAGCAGTTTGCGATGATATCATAAAGTCCATATTTTATTTTATCAGGAGGACTTTATTCTCAAAAAGCATAATTTTAGTTTATTGTGAGAAATGGTTGTAAAACGCGTATTAAAATTATGCGTTTTGATGTTATTGACTTTTGAAAAAGTTTTTGAAAGTTCTTTGGAGTTTTTGAGAACCCACAGCTGATTCAACACCACTTCAAGAATATACTGTAGCACATAATGTCTCAAGTTTCTCCTCAACAGCATTTTCTATATTTGTAAGTTGTTCAAATATGGACCTATATAGAGCATTTGCTAAATTCTAATATATAAATATCTGTCTGTAAGGATTTTTATGGAGTTAAGGAAGCCAATAAATGTAGGGTTGATCAAACTCACATTGGGTGATTGAATGGAAGTTTTTAATAATATCAATGTAATTTTGAAGAATTCAATAGAACTGAAATTCTGTTGGGGCTTCCAGTACTTACCTGGTATGACCTTTTAGTATAATGAAAACCAAAAAAGTAAAAACCTATTTCTTCCTTCAGAAAATATAAACTAGTGCATAATGAAAACCAGAAAAAATAGAGAACTCTTTCTTTGTTCAAAATATATAAACTAAGATATTAAATTGATATAAATATTTATCATTCATATATCATCATGAACTAATCCACTTAATATAAAATTCCAGAAATGCCATCATACACATATCGATCATCATATTAATTTAAAATTTTGAAACTCTACTGATTGCAAACAATTTTCCACCCCCAATCTTTAAGCAATGTGCCATATAACAAACATATTAAACAAATATAAACAAATAAGTGATATCACAGCTGTCTTCAGTAACATGAAAGGCACATACTGAAACATAAGATATATGGAGATAACAAACAGGCGAGAATTCAAGCTCAAAAGTCCATTAAACAATACAGTACTGGAGCAAAGCAAACACGGGGCCTCTGAAACATCAGAGGGGGGATCAGGTGCCATGGAGAAATTAGCAAAAAAAAAATTAAGTGACCCGATGTGATGCTTCAGTAACTTCTTATGACTACATATAATACTAAAAAATTATTTGTTTGAGTTTATCACTCAAATTAAATACTAACTATCTGTTCCATTTCAAACTAAAAAGAAAAAATTGATCCCCCCCCCAAAAAAATTAAAATTGAAATTAATGGAATCACTCCTGAAAATATATATACATATAAAATGTATACATTATCATTTAAAAATTTCTTTGATTAATTATTAAATAAAAAATACAATTAAAAGAATTAAAATCATATGTTAATTGTAAATTGCTTGTGTTTATACCTTAACCTCTAAAACAGAGAATATATAGAGAGCTTAATAACAAATGCAAAATATGCTTTAAGCTCTAAAACAGTAAATAAGGAGAGATCTTAATAAGAAATGCAAATGCAGCTAAACTTTTGGATCTCAATATCGACAGTACCTTCATAAAAAGAAATATTATCCCAGTTTGTTCAGATATTAGAGCAGTAGGTTTACTGCACTATTAGCGACCAAACAATAAAGTTCAAAAGGCCAGAAAACTGACTTTTTTTGACAAATTGCTTAAAGAAGAGGGGTAGTAGAAATGATAATGATCAACAGACCCAAAGTGTCTTTAAAAAAATCTACTGCTTTTTCCCTGATATCTGAACAATTTGGGGTGATTTGATGATTTATGAAAGGTACTGTGAGGGACAGAGATATCAAAGTTTGACTGTATTTCAATTAAGATTTCTCTACAGAGAGCTAGTCCTGAAAGCTTCGCTTGATGCTACATCTTGGAAACTGTGTGGACCATAGTGTAACAGCGTCCACATCAACATTAGCGCAGAATGATACATCTAGAAATATCAGCTTCTGACATTGTGTTAGGACACTGAAAAGCAGAGTTTATGAATTATAGTACATAATATATTATATAAAAACTTTAAAAAGATGTCATCAAATGGAAAATAAAGACTATATGAAAGAATTAATACCACGGTTCTGTTGCTTAGCATAAATGGTGAAAACGTATTTCCTGTAGGCAATAATTCTGCGTTTACAAGTACTGATACTGTAAGTCTTGTACATTTCATTTTTCTTTTTAAATGAATTTTTTATGAAATGAAAAAATTTGGCATTTGCAAAACATTATTCATGCATTTTCTATAATATACCGATCCATTAAAAATACTTCTGAAAAAGTAATATATAAATTTTTGCAATAAGACATGAATAAAACTTTGTACATATATCATTAAGACTCATTGAACTGTACCTGAAAACATTCAGTAAGACATGAATAAGAAATTGTACATGTATCATAAGAACTTATTGAACTGTTTACCTGAAAACACTCTCCCGACCGACATTGCCAGTACCTAAGATGTCTAACTGCTCCAACTGTGGGCAGTACTTACAGAACGCTAAGAGGTCCTCATTAGAAATAGTCCTGTAACAAAGTGAGGAAGGTTAGACAAAAATAGTTCATATTTAAAAAATAAAATGCTTCAGATTCCCTGTTCTTTTCCTAGACTTATGTATGAAAAAACAAAAATGAGATGGGGTGAAAAATTTCCCTCTACACAATACTTCTATTGAGAATTGTTTAAGAATGGTAAAATAGACAAATGGACTTACCTATTGGCAGTCAAGTATAACTTCTTAATGTTTGGACACTTCTTTACAAGATCAATAAAACAGTAAGTCCCTGCCTTCAGATTTGAACTGAAAAACAGAAACAAATATGCTAACAAATCTACCAGAGATAATTGATATTTTAATAAAATTCCAAACTTGCTGAAAGTTTTCTACTTTTTTTGTAAAGATTACTAAGCTCATTTCAATGAATGCCAGCATCTTTAAGTAATGTTAATTCCCACACTCAACAAAAGTTTTGGCATTCCTAGATGCAACATACATGCACATGATTTTTTTTTAAATTGGGAAAATACTTGCTTGCTTAAAAGACTTTTCAGTTTAATCACCTGGATAATATAAGAAAGTTTCCAAATCAAATCTGGTTGCATATCAAAAGAAGCATCACCAATGCAAGTTTAGTTTACAAAAAGATGTAAAAGAATTTAAGAGTGAACTGGCTCTAAAATTTTTTTTTCTGGTCATTCATTCAGAAAATGTAGGTCAGATCCAGCATCTAAGCAGTTGTGGCAGTACGCATATCTTTAAGTATCATCTATGCATGTTTCGTAGACTTTAACAAATGAATGCAAGACCCAGCATCCAAAATGTATCTAGTATTGCACACCCATGCTAGTTTGTTCTAAGCCATGAATAGCATGATGCACTTGGAGAGAACACCTGCTCCAAGATTTTAAATCTGATCATTTATCTGGAAAATATTTATCAAATTCAAGTCTGAGAGTGAGCGTCTCTATATGCACTACCCATTCAAATTAAGTCCAGGAGAGGGGGTTGAGAACATACTAGGAAGAAACTGTTCCAAAACTTGAGACTGGTCATGCATCTCAACATATGTATATATGTCATATTTAGCTGCAGAACTGAAGCTCTACGAAAAAATATATATTGACAGACCGGAGAGCTACAGAGCCACCCATTGAAAAAACTGTATACATGTATCTATTGCGCACAAAAAAGTGCACTGTTTCTCGATTTATTTCTCCATGATTTTAAAACTGTCCCTCAAAATATTACTAACCATGTGTTCCTAACATAATTCTTTCACTGTTTCCACAACAAAATATTCATTATAATTGTTTATAATAGCTCTCCTGGCCCTAAAATGGAGATCATCGAAAATTTTGCTATTTATACTGCCATTTTGGTTTGCAAGATAATTCGGTCAAATGCACTTCGTACAGGTGTAAACTATGACAGTACTTGGTAGAGGAGTGAGGACTTTATTGAAATCTAGCTTTTTTGCAATTAATGTAAGAATTTGGAAGAATTAATCCAGAACATAGCCCACTTTTTTGTGCACAATAAATATACAGTTTTTTTAAATGGGTGGCACTGTAGCTCTCTGGTCTGTCAATATATTTTTTTTCGGCGAGCTACAGTTCTGCAGCTATGTCATATCCAGTTTCCTGAGAAAGTCCAGTAGTGTGCCTTTTTAGATGTTTCATCTGTGTAAGTTTTAATAGTCATCAAAATCTATAGTTACTTCTCTATGTATATGTACATGTATTAACAATTTCTAAAACAAAGCAAACTATTGACCAACAAGTTGATGGGGTTATCATTTCACAAGTTTTATGGTTGATACAATGAACCTGTCAAAAACAATCTGATGTTTGAAATACAAATTATTATTTGCATGCTGAATTGTCTATGTATTTTCCCTGTTTTCTTGATAAAGGACAAGAAGCAAAGGACAGGTGTGACCAGTTGAAAGGGGATGCTCACTCCTTCATGGCATCTGATCCCACCTGTGATGTTTTTTGGAGGTCCATGTTTTCTGTACTCCTGTTCAATATTCATTGGATGGACTTTGAGCAGGAGGCTTGATAGTTTTCTCCATATTTCATTACAACTTTCTTGTTATGAACAAAACTAACTGTCGACTCTTTAAGTTCTGAGCAATATGGCCTAAACCGGTCTCTATATAAACACTCACCACCAGCCTAGATCTAACTCCTCAATGTGTTTACAATTCTCAGCAATATAGTCTAGTCCAGTCTCTGATATCCTACTTCTCCATAAGTCAAGAGAGATCAGATTCCTAAAAAAATATATAGAAGTCAATATATAGAGACAATGTAGTCTCATTACTTTTCTGCATATTATATGAAATATTGATATTCAAGTGTAATCTAGCAGATAATAAACAAATTACATGTATATTAATTTCAGAAATTTTGATAATGATTGTTGAAAAGAAAATTTAAGATACTCACTTGCAATGTT